TTATTGATTATTAAATATTTTTTATTCATAGTAATTTACTTTCCAGTTCCGTTTTTTAAATATAAATCTACTAGCATTCTATATCATGAATACATTTGTCTGAAGGGCTATGCAACTCACTATCCATTTTGTTTTAGTATAAATCTACTAGCGTTCTATCACGCATGCTGTTCACTGATTGGCTACACTACTCACTAGCTATTCTGTTGTAGAGAGTGAGTAGCCCAGCAGTGTGCACTAAGGGCTGCTTCTTTGCATTTTCGAAGTGTCTGTGAAGAGGATTTAGATAAAGTTTTGAAGGTACAGTAGATTTATACTAAAACAATTAGATTATTCGTTCTCGATTTCTATGCGTGATAGTTGACTCAGGCTGCTCACTCGTCAACTATCACGTGATAGAAATCTCAAGCTCCTAATCTAATTGTTTGGTACGGGTGTAGTTAGTGAGTAGCCTAGCAGTGTGTCGTTGTTAACAAATTGGCAGCCGCTTCTTTCCCTTTCTAAGTGTCTGTGAAGAGGATTAAGATAATTTACTAGTTGAGTTAGGAACTACTAGTAGATTTGTAGTATTATTATTCACTCTTGATTTCTATGCACGATAGAAATCTCGAGCTCATAATCTTATGCAAGTCTCCAGGGTTGGGTGGGGTTAGTAAATATTTCTTTCTTGTTTAACAAGTTAAAAGCCTTAAATTTGTGTCATCAGAAAAACTGAGATCATGTTTTAGTTAGAAAACTTATTGTCTGTGATTAAACATATTAATGTCTAGTTTGAGAGAGCTTTTTGTATTTTGAGGTAAAATACATTGCAGAATGTAATTGACTTGTCAGTGGTTTTCTCAGTATTTTTGTAAGATTTATTACTAAAATGTAGTTTTTCTGTCAGTAAAATAATGCAGCAAATCATGTAAGTATATTTGTTGCAGTTTAATACCCAAGAATTACTTATTTCTGTCACTTCTCTTGTAATTATTGCAACATACTTTTTTTAGTGAATAAAGTTTAATATACATGTCCGGTGCGGATGTTTTGTTTTCTGTTTCATTCAATTTACAAGAGGGGGAGGACCCATCTTCAGATATTTTTACAACAGTTAATTGTTTTGCAAACATTCTTAGATACTTGAGATCTAGGAAAATTGACTTCTGTTGATAGTTTTGTAAGAGAGATGCATGCCAAACTTTCCCCGTTTATAGCTTAGGGCTGCATGGATAGTGCTCTCCAAAATATATGAACTTTCCTCTACATTGGAAGGCCTTTTCCTGAAGGTACAACAGTTTTGAGAGGAAAGAACATAAATCAATGAGCCTTTTTTCAGCTGCTCATTTTAAGACCTCCTCAATCGATAAAATATGTTTGACAGCATTACCCAACCCCCAATAGAGCAGTAAGAGGTTATTATATCACCCACACAAGACCATACCACCCGTCCGATGATTTCCGAGGATATTCCGAAGATTTCCAAAAACTCCGAACATTTCCACGAAGAATTTCACGTTCTGTTGCCTTTCAGTCGTTTACTGTTCGAGTTTACGTATTTTTCGAACGTGTGCGAGTTAAAGCTGCAGTAGCTCCTGTTTTCTTTTTTACCTCGGCGTGGAAGATTGGTCCATAGCTGGGCGTGAGACCAAAATTTTAATACAGCACAAAAGATGTAAGGTTATTAGTAGCACGAGTCAAGCACGAGTTATATGGGTCAACTTNAAATATTTCTTTCTTGTTTAACAAGTTAAAAGCCTTAAATTTGTGTCATCAGAAAAACTGAGATCATGTTTTAGTTAGAAAACTTATTGTCTGTGATTAAACATATTAATGTCTAGTTTGAGAGAGCTTTTTGTATTTTGAGGTAAAATACATTGCAGAATGTAATTGACTTGTCAGTGGTTTTCTCAGTATTTTTGTAAGATTTATTACTAAAATGTAGTTTTTCTGTCAGTAAAATAATGCAGCAAATCATGTAAGTATATTTGTTGCAGTTTAATACCCAAGAATTACTTATTTCTGTCACTTCTCTTGTAATTATTGCAACATACTTTTTTTAGTGAATAAAGTTTAATATACATGTCTGGTGCGGATGTTTTGTTTTCTATTTCATTCAATTTACAAGAGGGGGAGGACCCATCTTCAGATATTTTTACAACAGTCAATTGTTTAGCAAACATTCTTAGATACTTGAGATCTAGGAAAATTGACTTCTGTTGATAGTTTTGTAAGAGAGATGCACCATGCCAAACTTTCCCCGTTTATAGCTTAGGGCTGCATGGATAGTGCTCTCCAAACTTTATGAACATTCCTCTACATTGGAAGGCCTTTTCCCGAAGGTACAACAGTTTTGAGAGGAAAGAACATTAATCAATGAGCCTTTTTTCAGCTGCTCATTTTAAGACCTCCTCAATCGATAAAATATGTTTGACACCATTACCCAAACCCCACTAGAGCAGTAAGAGGTTATTATATCACCCACGCAAGACCATACCACCCGTCCGATGATTTCCGAGGACATTCCGAAGATTTCCAAAAACTCCGAACATTTCCACGAAGAATTTCACGTTCTGTTGCCTTTCAGTCTTTTACTGTTCGAGTTTACGTATTTTTCGAACGTGTGCGAGTTAAAGCTGCAGCTCCTGTTTTCCTTTTTACCTCGGCGTGGAAGATTGGTCCATAGCTGGGCGTGAGACCAAAATTTTAATACAGCACAAAAGATGTAAGGTTATTAGTAGCACGAGTCAAGCACGAGTTATATGGGTCAACTTCGAGCCAAACTCGGGTCAACGTCTGTTCTGGTCTTTTTTTCTCGGGCATTGTAACGATTTTCAACTGTTTTTTTTGTCTAGTAACTAGTGAACTGGAACAACAAATATACTTGCGCGCTGTTCGGGTTTTCCCTGCAAATCGCAGGTGCATCGAATTTATGCTCAAATTGCATTGTGGGACGTAAATTTAATAAACAAAGGAAATGGCGGCCGCGAAGGAAGGAGAAAGCTTTATGGAAGTCCTCAATTACAAGGACTCATTTCATGCTTGCCACGTTTTGGAGACCCTTAAGAAATTGTATTTAAAAAAGGAACTTTGCGATGTTGTTTTGATAGTGGATGAACAAGAAATCAAAGCACATCGAGTGGTTTTAGCAGCGAATAGCGCCTATTTTTATTCAATGTTTACCACCGACATGTGCGAGAGTGTTCAAGAGAGGATTTCCCTGAAAGGAATAGACTTCGAGGCAGTGGAGCTTATAGTAAACTTTTGCTACACTTCGACTATAGAAATTACGGAGAAAAACGCACAAAATCTTCTGTCAGTGTCGAATTTACTGCAGTTCAACACGATCATCGAATCTTGTTGTGGGTTTTTGAAGAATCAGTTACACCCCACAAACTGTCTGGGGATTGGAGATTTTGCCGATCACCACGGCTTCTCAAAATTAAAAAATGCCGCACAATGCTATGCTGAAAAACATTTTCTTGAGGTAATTAAGTCTGAGGAATTTCTTAATGCGACTTGCGAACAGATATCGACCATGCTGAAGAGTGATTTCCTTGATGTGGCGAGTGAACAAGAGGTTTTCGATTCTGTCATACAGTGGATCTATCACGACGAGGGTCGTCGGAAGCGACATTTACCAGGATTTCTCAAAGACATTAGGCTCCCTTTATTGCCGCCGAAAATTTTAGGTAAGATATGTTTCTTAAAAAAAGATAGATTTAAATTGCTAAATAGTGCACACATTAATTTCACATCCCACTGCAAAGTAAACATTGTTTTGTTACGATAGGAAAGTTGTTCTTGGCGTCAGCAGTTGTCTATTTTATACATATTTAAGGCGTTTAACTAGACTAAAGGTCAGGATTTTTCTGTATTAAATTTGCACAGCTATTTTGTTTTCCTTTGGAAAATGAAATTTTCGTGATTATCGTCATTTCCTGATCACACAGAAGTCACGCAGAGCAAAGTGCTCTCCGTATTATATATCGTACACTCATTTATCTCTTAGTCACACAAGCATAAAATATAGCTCGAAGCGTCTGACATTGTTCAACAAAGGTTTGCGTAATCATCAAGATTTTTCTATGGCAAAAATAATCGTGACTGAATTTCAGATACCGTGATTTGAAATATCCAGGAAATGAAATTGAAAAATGAAATAATTTATATAGTTCCAGAAAATGTCTATACCTCCCCCCCTCCCCCCCCACAGGAGGGATTTTGTCTAAGACCCTCCTGTCCCTCTGGAAATTACAATTAAGCTTTATAAATTTCTTAAAATTGTTTGGCCTTACAGAACCCCCCACCCCAAGGAAATTCCAATCTCTGTGGGGGGAGTATGGATATTTTTCTGGAGCTGTAAAATTTGATATTTGCTAGACCAAAATGGTCAAAGCTGTAAGCATATTATCCACCCTGTAGAAATCCTGGTTGGCAAAACAGCCTCAAAAGAAAAACTGCACCTTTCTGTTGTATTCTGTTGCTCTCCAACCCAAAAAGATTCCAAATTTCTTACTTGGTAACTACTTCCCATCACACTCTTTCTGGCAAGGTTACACCCTTTGCCCACATCAAAAATCTCACCTTGTAACATGAAAGTGTATTTCTGCTTCAGTTGATTGTATAGAGAGCGAGAAGCTGGTAGAAAGCAATGACACTTGCATGAGGCTAATCAGTGAGGCAAAGAACTTTCATCTGCTTCCTGAACGACGTGACAACATCCCATTCGGGACACAGGCTAGGCATAAAGCCAGGAGCACTATGATCTACATTGTGGGTGGTGAAATACATAACAGGGTATTCAACAGTGTCAGGAGATTCAACTTTGAGACCAACATGTGGGATGAAGTGGCTCCAATGAACAAACATCGTGATGGTGTGGGTGTGGCTGTATATAGTGGCCATATTTATGCTGCAGGAGGTAGGCAAGAGCTTGTTATAAGAGCCTTTTTTATAAATCATTGAGCTGCATCAAAGTAAAATTTATGATAAAAGCACAACAAGTGCCTCTGGAGGCTAAGTTCTCTCATTTTTCCAAAGTCTATTAAGGAGTGAAAAAAAAAAGAAAAAAGTGGTAGGGTGTAGCCAGTTTAAGTTGTCTTCTCACAAAATGTTTCAAGTACATTTGAGTTTTATTGAAGCTATTGGGCTTGATTTCCAGTTGTTTTGTGGTCAGATTTTTTATTAGCCCCATTGTACTCTATGAGGATGACATCAGACTCCCAAAATGGCTAGAAAGTGTGGCCTAGGGAACACTATTTGTAGAAACGTTTGCATGTCTACTGCTAAATGAAAAGAAATGTTCACTCTTCCTACAGGATAATTGGTTACAGTTTGTAGCGGACCTAATGGATTGAAACATCCATTAAACTTTTAAAAATTGCTTGCTGCTATTTACAATTTTGTTTTACACCATTTTTGTTAGGATGTGATGGTGATGTAGCCCTTAGTTCAGTAGAATGTTACCATCCTGCCACTGACAAGTGGACGTATGTTCAGCCTATGGCATGTGGACGGCATGCTTTTGGTTTGGTAGAGCTGGATGGTTGGTTGTATGCATCGGGAGGAAGTGACTTCTCACGTTCTGAATATAACAGCTTGGAACGTTATGATCCAGTCAGGTTATCATTACTTTCATCATTGCTTAAAGATTAATTTACCCTTAAAACATTTATCTGTTCTAAACAGCCACAGTTTTCCAAAAGCCAAGTGCTGTTAGCTTTAAGGAACAGATGATGTCTATGGACTAATATCCATGCAAATTTCAAAGATTAGACATGACATGAAGACAAATTGCATACAAGAAAACATATTTGATGGCAGTAAGTGACAGATAATTTTGTGGCACAAAACAACAGGAAAAATACTAGTTCCTTTGACAACTTCCTTGAAACTAGTATTTTAACAGCACTTAAAATTTGTTGAATCTGCTCTCTTCAGGGATGTCTGGACTCACATGAAACCCATGAGCACAATGCGAGAGGGAATTGCCATGGTTACTCTAGATGGTACTATCTATGCAATTGGTGGAGACAACGGTGTCTCTATATTAAACACGGTAGAAAGGTATGACCCACGGCTGGATCGCTGGAGTGCTTGTGTCGCCATGAGCTATCGACGAAGATACTTTGGTGCAGCAGTACTTAAGAGCAAGATATTTGTTGTCGGAGGGAGTGATTATGATGAAGATCATAACTCTGTGGAGTGTTTTGATCCACGTATGAACAGATGGCTTTCACTGCCTCCGATGCTGATGAGGAGAGAGAGTCCAGCTGTAGCTGCTGTTGATGACAAATTGTTTGCCATGGGAGGTGCATGCATGAATGTTGAAACAGAAAAGATTGACTGCTATGATCCTTTAACTAACAAGTGGGAGGAGTTTGCGCCACTACCTCTGGCCATAGAAGGCATGGGTGTAGCTGTAATATGACATGCAACAATTGGAATGCCAGAAGTTGGCTGTTGTTTGAATGTTTAGCTTCATTTGCTAAGAAAAAATTGCATTATTTCACAAAGGTTTTAAAAGCAGCACCTAGTGCTTGTACTATAATTATTTTATTTAAAATTAAATTAATAAGAAATAAAATAACTGTGGTATTGTGTGGACGGAGAAGTTAAAAAAAAACTTCAATAGTTGGTTCAAAAAGAAAAGTACAAAAAGAATGCTATCAAATAGACACAAACTAGGAAAAAATTATTCAATAAAAATATTTCTCTCTTAAATTTATGTAAAATAAATTACCTTTATTATAGCAATATGTTGCATATTTAACTGTAATGCACTGTTGGCTTTTCAGTCCTTAACCAAACAGAAAGTCTGTTCATTGTGTTTTCATCTCATCAAGGTATTGCCTGTAGCAAGAACTGTTGTACAGTTTCTAATCAGAATCTTAAAGGAAGTAAGAATACAGCAACAAGTTACCAAGGAAAGTCTAACGACACACAGCAAACATCACACACTTGAGAAAAATGTTGATACAAGAAAATATTTTATGATATAAGGGTGAAATATAGTGTCCTTTGGTCTATCTTGATATAACAAATATTATTAATATAAAATGTTTGAGTTGTAAATGACTTTTACGATAAATTAATATATTCTGATCTATTAGAATATTACAGGAGACCCTCTCTACAATGGTACCTTAAATTTATGGAAAATTAACTGAACATTGTAGATTGGTGAAGGCAGAGTATAAAATATGGACTGACATAACGTACTCAGAAAAAATATCCTGGCCTTCACAGAGAGGTGGCTACTATAGACAAGTTATTGGTAGTGGAGGTTTGACTGAGGTAATTTAATGTTTTGAATATTTATTGGCTAGTTCCACTATCAACTTATGTTATAAAAATTATATGTTTACAGAAAATGTATGACGAACAGAGGAATAAAAAAGGTTTATGTTCAATTTCTGTTGTCACTTTACATAAAATCAATTTTCTTTGTTAACTTTTAGTAGTATTACTGACACAGTTAAACCATGCATTTAAATGTCGCAATAACACTTCTTTTTATTTGGACCATTAGCTTAATGGCCATCTTTTATGTTTTGTTTTTTGGAAAAAATGTATTGTCGTGACAAAACACTATTGATTGCAATATTGATGCTTCTTTTTTTTTAATCAAAATCACCATTTACTCTGCAAGATAATGAGAAGCCCTAGGATAAGAAATATTGAAGAAATATAAAAAAATATCATTGAGCCTTTCATTATCTTCTTCAGCAGTTCAAACACAAGCAAAATCAAAATCAATTTTAACATAGTCCCATGCAAAACTATTGCTTGAAGACACTTTGTTATTGTCTCTGAACAGTCAAAGCTCTAT